AAACCCGTTATATATAATTATATATAAATAATTTTCTAAATTCGAAATTTCAAAGAACTCGCCGTTTCCTTTTATTCAATTTGTCTCCCTGAAGTAGTCCAGTGACATAACTGTCCTTTAGATACATCCTCAAAAAAGAGAAGTAAATTTATTTGGTTGAATTTTTATTTTTTTGGGGGGGATGTTCTTTTTGGTGTAACTAACTTGGAGGGAAGATCCTGTGATTTCCAAGGTTTGATTTCGATAATGAATAAAAATATTCAAGTAACAAAACAAATAAACTTAAAGGGTGCTGCAGGTTTTTATTGTCTATTAATTTTGGTTCTACATTTCAAGGGTATAACTGTTTTAAGAAATGCTGCAAGGTAGAGCTTAAATTGTATGACACAGACTAATACAAATAACTCATAAAGTCATCGGTGATGGGCCTAGTGATCAGTTTATGTCTACTTCATTCAATGACTGAGAGTACTTAGTGAGAGAATTATGACCAGCCTTAAACCTACATTGTCAAGGTTACTTTCATGACAAGATTTTTATCAAAAATTCGTACGCATGAGACCTAAAATGCATGAAGATTGCACACGCGAAAACTGCGCTATTGTTTTGGGCCAAACTTACTATTTCCGGATCCAAGTTCCTCTCTTTTCATATGAACCACAAAATTCAGCTACTTTTAGAACAATATGTTTCCTATTCACAGTATTTACAGGCATATTTTAAATCATAAAATGCAGGAGATTTTCTACAAATCAATAATACTGCCAAACATTTTTACCATTGACCTTGCCCTAAATCACTGACTGTCGTTGATGATACAAATTTGAATGTATACAGGAACATACTACTTTCCGAGGGACATGCAGAAAACCCGTTCTGATTCTAATATGACTTCAGGCAGCACTACGCAGGCAACTACGCGTTGAATAAAACATTAGTACGATGGCTAAGACAAGCCAGCACTTCAAATGACATATACAGTAATCAGATACCACTAAACGGACTTTAAGTACATTCATTTTTGTCTTATTTTTTGCAAACGAAACAACATTCTAAATTTAGTGTTTTGATAATAATTACAACAGGACTCGCTAACAATTCAAGTTAATTTTACTAAACAAGACCTGTTCAAAGGCATGTGACTTCAAGTTGGTAAATCTGTTGGGTTAGGCCAAAAGGCTAGGTTGTTGCAATGGGTTTAATTCTACGGATTATATTATAGCACGGTAGAAAAAGAGTTGTTTGTTGACTTTATTGTTAAAAGGCTTATATTTTTTAGTTCCTCTATGTACGAATTAAACACAATGTTGGGTCTTGCCAAAAGTGTCTCTATACTTTGTGAAGAGCGAAGATCAGAGTACCCAGGGTCCATATTTGCAAGGACTTTTCCAGTTCAACTACTATTCAAAGGCATTGAAGGCCGCATAGCAATCATCTACAAAGTGACAACGATGCATTTTCGCTAAATAATACTATCAATAATGTCTTGTCTAATCCTCCGTAACATTACATGGCGGTCATCTGTATATCTTTTTCACCGTTAAAGTGTGACGCTAAGAACAAATGCATGAATTGATCTGAATAAATACTGTGTATTATACATGCAAACCTTTGCAGATATTTGTGTTTTACTTAGATCAGATGATAACGCTTTTGTGCTCCAACAAATCGACAGGTATTAAATAATTAGCGACAATTTCAATTAGCAATTTTAAACCAAAAGACAAAGTCAATTAACGACATATACACCGATCAGAGCAAGGCAGACACATTTTACAAGTATATCTGTAGATGCTTTAAGCTGCGTATGATTTTTCTATGGATCAACATTCGTGCATTTGAAAGAATATGCATTGCTTTCCTCAGAATAGCTTAAACGTGAAGAGAAAAAGAGCATGTATTTATCACCTCGGAGACGGTAGCTTTTTATGTTGATTATAATGATTCAAGCTGGCTTGATTGCCCTTTTAATCAAACACAAATTTTGTTGGTAATTTTTCTCTTGATAATAGCCGTCCACCGTGTCACTAAAGTTGGGAAATGAAAGCTTGTTGCATTCTACCACTCCTTTTCACAATCTATCATGGCGACATTTTCAAAGAACAAAATTAAACGTTTTGATTGGACTGCATGCTTTCTTGTTAGAACAGTACAGGGATTGTAGTTCTTATAAGAAACATTGATTTTGTCACAAAAATGCATTTATTTTCAGTGAGAGAACCAGTGTGATAAACCTTAGGCTATATTTCATTTATTCATGAGTTGAAAAGCTGAAGATAAATGAAACAATAACTCAGACAGTGTTTGACATGTCCGTGACCCGCTGTAGAAATTGAGTAAAGTGGCCTCTTGACCTATTGTTTCTGGCTCAACCATCCATTTTCGTATTATCTCTAGAAATATCAGGTTATTCGAGGAGGAGGCATATTTTCCAACATTTCCAAAAACCTGTTGCAGAGGGTAAGTTTTTACCAAATAAACACGCACGTATTTGAACAAAATGATTAACCTACACATCATTTTACCTGTAATTCACCCTAGAAGATCGTCTTCACTGCACAGTATTCACCACTTTTACTTCTTCGTATTCATGTGAATATTAATGTCGTTTCTTGCTTTTTATACTCAACATAATGAACCTGAACTGCAAGAGAATCTCTTGAAGAGATTGCCCGCTAATATCAAAACACTCTGATGATAAACACGACATTTATATCCACATGCTATGATATCAACCGTGACCTCTGACACGAGAGCCAAACCTCCTACATGGCTGGAAAACTGGAGAGACCAGGTGACTTCTTAGCAACGACGCCTTGGATGCGAGGTTGGTCGTCAAGGTAGGGATTGAATCGCTGCAAAATGCCAAGGAACAAAACTCACATCAGAGGTGGTAGCTCGGAATGAGGGCGCCGGAATTTTGTTCAGAGGCACCGTGGATCGTAAAAAATACCGAAATGCCGGAGTTTCTGTTGTCAAGGTAAGTTCAATTGGTGCCTATTAGGACATTATTAGCTTTCAAACATCTTTGGCGGAGGTGGGATTATGTGGTTGACCACCCCCATACATTTCTAAAAAGGAAATGTGAAACAAAATGGAAACATTTCATCTCCTATCTCCCCCCCATGGTACGCCACTACCCCCTTCCCTGTCATTTAACCATTTTAAAGCTGACTTCAATGTCCACTTTCTTCTATTTCTCCGTGAAAAATGTGGATGTCTGAATTCATCAGGAAACTTGCACCTTAGAAATGTCATACCTTTGTGGCAGGTCGTCTTAACCCAGGGCTCTATGAAATAAGGAAAAGCAAAGAATTAGTTATTCTTCCATTTTCATTCCCACAGAGGGCGCTATCAAACCTTATTGCTGCGTTACCGCACAATTGGCTTAATTTATTTTGATCAAATTCGACTGTTTCCTCTTGTGACTGTTTATCTGAATAAAACTGCAATATCTCTCAGCGTCTGCGAAAGTCATGATCTGATTTGAATTTTTTTTAAATTAAAGGAGAAAGCTGTGTTGTTGACTATTGGTGATTTCGATTCTAGCTACGCGAAACATTTCAAAACAAAGTGGAGAGTTTATTGATGAAACAGAGGTGCGACGCACATAACAGTATTTCCACAGACAACGTAATTTGGATTATAATTAAACGATACGAGCAGGAACCAGGCATGCCCAATGACGCTTTAAACATGAAGAGAAACAGTAGAAAACAAGCGAGTGAAAAAAAATTGCAAGCAACTCAGTAATCGCAGAAAAACATCAACAACCATCAGTCAGACAAACGACTGATAATACGTAACTGTAAAGAGGTATCGAGAAGGGTGCAAGAACTGAAAAAAAATACGGGCATACTGGCAGACAACCCATAGCAAAACAGACAAACAGGATAAATAAAGACAAGCAATAAAATCCGTTGACACAAAGTCCATAAGATAATTTGCTTATTTCCACAATGTAAAAACTGAGGTATAGCGCTTATCAAATCCAAGAGTAAATGACTCACTCGTTTGGATATGATCTCAGGTGACTTCTTGGCTACAAGTTGACCTCTCTTTTCACCCTGAATATACTGATTCTGAGAGGGGCGAGTCAGACAAATAGCGAGTTGATAGAAGAATTCAGATATCCTCCCATTAATTTGGAACCAATTTCATGGCATTGTATTAGCGCGGGGCGTTGAGGTAGGCCTGACCTTATTCTGAATAAACTGCTTAATATTTAAAACTTTTTTCAATTCATTTCAGTTGCTTTGGTGGAGGTGCATCATTAATAACTTTAATAATGACATGATGACACACAGCGAGAAGAAATACAGACCAACGAAATCATTCCATCAATCGGATTAAACCATACATTTACTTCAAACCTGCCGACTATGTATTGTTAGTATCGAACGTATCTCTACAGATGGGAAAAAATACGGCTCAGCATAGGTACTTTTGCAGTGCATGCCAAGCGTCTTTATATTTCATAGAGGAAACCAGCTCATGAACCGTCAGATCATCGTCTCATGCATGTCAATCAGCCAAACAGACAGGCAGAGTGATGTGGAGAACCAGGCTGCTTCCAAACTTCAACAAGTCCAGAACTCCGCGGATCACTTTATTTAAGACCGTGTTTCTCCCAGCGCCTCGACTCTCCCCTTACCCGTTTGAACGGCATGTACTGCTGTTCCTCTGCCTCCCCGGTCTCCTGGTACTGACTAACAAAGGCGGCCGTGTTGGACATGGTAGCCAGGCAGCATTTGTCAGCTGTGGAAAGAGAGATTCAAACCCATCGAAACTGCTTAGGGCAGATTTAATTCACCTTTTTTATTTTAAATTTAGGCCCTAAAGCTGTGTATGATCTCTTCACTGGAAAAAGGTGATGAGACATGGCGGGCAATGAAGCTCAGACGAAATCATCTAATTTGTGACTGTTCGTGTAAAATTACCTTCAACTATGTGGAAGGAATTTAAAAAGCAGATGATGGTTTGACCACTGCTGCTGAACAAAGAACAACCGCCCCCTTTATTGTACATGTTGATTTTAATTTGAGTGATAGGTGAACAAGTCTGATGTCTGATCCAACTGCCATGTTTTTTCACCTCGATGTAGGCCTATATGAAACAAAATTCAAGCTGTATTTGTCTCACTGAGACTCTTTCGCCCTCTCTCGTATATTAAGTATAACCCAGCGATGAAGCTCCAGCAAATCTATGAAACACAAACAGACATTTCAACAGAGCTCTCGAGATCAGTTAATACGCCAGTAATTTTTTTAAGGCTAAGGTGCCAGACTGTAAGCATCCTTACATTCGGTACAGTCTAGGCTTTCAAGTTGATCGTCTTGCCATCCCGGCTCGCAGAAACACGTGAGCCTCGGATGCATTAAAGACTTCACGCTGTCCTTGCCTGCGAACAAGAAGACAAGAACTCAGGGTCAACCATGCGAATGGTGTCATTGTCTTGATGGCGTCCCTGATGAGTACACGGTTTAATCAGTAGATAAGCGAATTTTACCAACGACAGCCAAATATACAACTTGCTACCGGGGCTCCGGGAGCGGAGCCATAGGCCTTATATTTGTGGCTGGGGTATCCGAACTCGGACAAAGGGAACAGGGCCCTGTAACAAAAGACCGTACTCCGAACAAAAGACCAGGCTGCTGGCCATTTCCGACATTTTTCACTCTCAAAAGTGGAGATAACCAAGCCTTGTTTTGAAACAGTATACCACGGTTTGGGGTGCTTAGAGCGAGCGGATTACCACCGGGGACAAAAGCGCTCCACCACTGCAGCGATGAGCCAGACAGCACCGCTGCACGCTAATCTGGCCACTATTGAAAAGAAGTTAGTAGTGTACTGAGCCAGGTTCGTGAACAAAAGAAAGTTATATAACACCGCACAATCTAGGCTCTTTTTAAAAGGCTGCGGGACTGGCTAAAACACTCGGGCGTCAATGAAGGTTACCCGTCAACTTAGAGTAGTGCCTAAAGATTACTTCATGTGGGTTTAAACGTCCGTTAAAAGAAATGATGAATTTTTGAAGAATTTTGAAAACAGAAAAATTGATAATTATCCCAGACCAGCGTCATAAACATTGATAATTAACCCCGGCGCGAAGTGGTTTTAATAGGCCTTCGATAGGTATCACCGCTAACCCTGAACTAATATGCATGAACCAGGGATTACAGTTGAGTCTAGGTCCAGTTTAGTAACAGGGGTGACGAACAATCGCTAAGGATTTCCTTGGTCACAATTGCTCCGAAAGCTTGTAACTCGTCCTGAGACTGAATGACTTACGATGGCGTTGCAGGGACATGTGAATTAGATTCAAGACTCCAGCATAAAAAGACATGCTGTTTAACATTTACTGCAACATAAACTCGCAAAGGAGGTTACAACTTGTGCCCTTCCCACAATGATAAATGGTTGAATGGTTTTTAATCTTTTAAATTGAGCCAACTGACCTGCTTCATCCATCGTCTTGGGGCAGGGGTTGGGCGGGGTGGAGTAGCCAGAGTGAATCTCGGGTATAGCCACCTGCTTGTTTGGGATTTTGCCCAGTGATCCAAGGTGTTGCTTTCCTTCACCTGCTCCACCTAGTCGGTGACAAAATGAGAAGAGAACATGCCCTAAAACTCGGCATTAGTGCCCGGTCGGCTTGGGACTCTGTCCACAGAGAGAAACGCTTGGCCGAACGATGAAAGACATTGGCAGTGCGAGCCTGGTTGAAAGGCATGCGAAACCGCGTTAAAATTAAAAGAAACAACCAAGAAAACAACCGCCCACCGACTTACCGGCCAAACAGAAAAACTCTTGCATAGGGCCTGCCCATTTTGCGCGGGAAAGGGTGTGCGCAAGTAGTGTTTCGGCCAGATAAACGGACATGGTTCCAGGTAACAAAGCATCCCTATCGTCAGTGTACGAAGTCCTCACCTCAACAAAATGAAAGTCTCCTGCCGGGAATGTAAAATAAATGACGTTTTCCCCAAGAGGAAAAAAAATTTACCAGAAACAAAAGTATTCGGCGGAACGATGAGCTTATTATTGGCGGCACTCTCCTCCCTGGTAGCGGGCCCCACCATGGCGTCTCCTATGTCACCTAGCAACGCATCTCTCAGATAGCTACGCAGGGCCAGCCGGTCAGAGGAGCTGAACGGGTAGGCACTGCACACCAGAAAGAGGGCGCTGCTCAGGACCAGAAGCGGGAAATTCATCTTAATCACTGCTGAGGGACAAGAAAAGAAACAAATGAAAGTTAGTGAGCTGGTTTGATTCCCTGCAGGGGAGAGGGCACAGTATATTTTTATATTCACCACAAGAAAAAGGGGATATAATGTAGAGAAGATATCAGTCCTCGGTAGTATAGTGGTTATCATCTCTGACTGTCACTCAGGAGACCGGGGTTCGATTCCCCGCCGGGGAGAAAGATTTATTTACTTTTGCGAATATATCAATGACTTGTTTCATCTTCTGTACTGAAGTGATAATGATAACTATTGTCGGAGAAGATATCAGTCCTCGGTAGTATAGTGGTTAGTATTTCCGACTGTAACTCAGGAGACCGGGGTTCGATTCCCCGCGGGGGAGAAAGATTTATTTTTTGCGATTACATCAATGAATTGTTTTATCTTCTGTACTAAAGTGAAAAGGATAGCTACTGTCGGAGCAGATATCAGTCCTGTATAGTGGTTAGTATCTCTGATTGTCACTCAGGAGACCAGGGTTCGATTCCCGCAAGGGAGAGATATTCTTTTTTACGCGATTCCAAAAATGAATTTTTTATCTTCCGCACTAAAGAGAAAAGGATAACTATAGTCGTACGAAGATATCAGTCCTCGGTAGTATAGTAGTTAGTATCTCTGACTGTCACTTTATAGAGTGAGAGTTGCAACATTGTTAGAACTAAAATGGTGGATTATGCAACAATGCACATGGACAATTAGCACACAATAGCTGCATGCTTTACAGCACAAACAATGAAGAGCCATTTTGGTTCCGAAATTTGAAGTTAGTGGTACGCTCTCTCTATTTACAACTCTGATCAGTCGGTAATATCTGTCTGCCCAGTATCTCCGTTGATGCATTGACACGGTTACACAAAAAATAAACCAGGCTAACCATACTGTTCTGTTTTATAACGGGTCTAATATCGAGAGAGCTTTTAGTGTGAATTTGTGTGTCGGCTTTCATCCCATAAACCGATAAAACATATAATAATAAACACATAATATATGTTAAAAGTGTTGTAATTCGAAAAGAAACTTCGATTTCCATGCACATTGGGGGCAGGAGACGGAGGAATTGTTTTCTCTTTGATCACACACCGAAATGTTGATCGCACATTGCTGCTGTGACGCTGTTGCAACATTTTTTTCACATCAAACTTACATTCTCTGATTTTAAGGAGAATATTGTTAATGTGATGCTGCTTTTCAGACGCGACAAGTATCTTCAGTATAAAGAGTTGGAAGATAAAAATGTCGGGCCTCGTGGTGGGTTTTTTAATCGTCCGCTGTTGCAGTTCATATTTTGCTGACAATTAAAAAAAACAAAATTTGCCGAGTCAAAGTGTCTCTTTGTCACTCCGAACAGCCAACTGTTTTTTTACTTTGGACAGAAAAAATACTGTAAAATTTTAATTTGGGGGATTTTGGTTGTTCTCCACAAAAAAACTTCATTCTTTGGAGAACCAGAGGGGGAACTCATCACGCATTTATTTTCTCCAATATCACCCTCACGCAACCTGCACAAATGGAGTGAAAGGCTTTATGTCTTGCACGAATCTTAACACACATTCTGTAAAATATGGACACACTTTTCTCTTGTGATGTCATATTTTTGAAATGGAGGTGCTTAATAGAATGTATATAGGAATACTGTTCGTTCTCGAAGGGGGTGGGTAGACGAAAATTATAGTAAATACATGATCATAATTTGAAAACCCTGGCCCAACTTAGTTAAACCCTAATGTCCCAAAAGGTGTCGCCTGAAATATTTTGGAAAAAAAGAACATTAATTTGAAATAGCAATAACCCCCCCCCGAAAACAACACATTTAGATTTTTCTAAATTGTACAGATTCTTCTGTCATAACTACTGCATGCATGTTCAATAAAGCCTCACTACAGTGCGCATTTTTTTGTGAGGGATCCAACACGATGTGAAAAAGGACCTGCAGTTGAGACAGGAACATTTGTCCCATTAATGACAAGATGTAAATTCAGTGCTGAACTTTCGTTGTCATGCGCGTCCTCGACCGAAAGAAGCAGGCTCCGAGTAGGCTGACGATTCAAAGGAAAAAAAAAAAAAAAAAGATTCCTGCCTATCTCCACCCTTGATTTTGGGGTCAAGAACTGGGAACAGGCCCATCTGCGCAATCAAACTCTTTCAAGATTAACTTTGTGATTTAGTTGTTAAATCTTTACATTCAGGCGAACACGTTTGGGGGACATACTGTTGCGAGCATAGACTTGTTCACACAGGCAACAGAAGCCGTTATGCTGACACGATTTCACGAAGTTCTTAAAATATAAGATGTCATTGGCCATTTCGATGATAATATTTATCAGATGGACACTATAATTATATAACGTCTTTCCATTCCAACTTACACTCTGTATCAGAATGATCAAAACAATTTGTCGATATGGAAAAATTAGAAATCCTTTCAGCATGACAATAGTTTTCAATAAATTCATGTCCCGCTGCAATCGAAATTCGAACGACGTGGAATCTACCCATGGTACCTGGACAATAAAAACCTAAAGAAGAATAAAACCTGACTCTACAGGTTCAGAGTACGATGGGGAAACGTATATTTCGTTGCTACAGTGAGTTCAACTCTGTTTTTATGCGTTACGTTACCTTGTATTGACTCAAAAACAGTGGTGCATCAAGGTCTTGAATACGGATTGCAAAATACGACCGTCGATTTTGTTTTACCTGTAATAGAGTTCTCAGCCCTCAAAGAAATGTATTAATAACCGATTCTAAAATACTGGTACATTCACTTCCAAAAAGAATTTAAATGTCTATACGGGAGACTTTCCCATTACTTCACAGCATGCGATCCATCGCATGTTGGGAAGTGATGTTCTGCATGTTCCGCTTGCCATGAAATTGGTGGTGGTTCACACAGTGCATGGAGTAGAGGGTGTATAAAGACACTGGTGCCTATAAGGTCTACAGAACGAGTCTTAACCCGTCCCTCTTTTCCATAATTTTGAGCACAATGTGCATGTATCGTAGCCTTGTGAATTGCAATGAACTTAAAATTCTAAGGTCTTCAGTGCTGTACAGGGCTCTAATGTCATTATGTCTCTATGTACACCAGCAATGATTTGTGGGGATATTTTTTCCGACGTTGTTCGTGTTCTTGGGGATGTCAGTAACCTTGGTTGATGCACCCTCCACATTTCAATGAGCCACACTGGGTCCACCTCAATATACTTTCGTTAAAGCGTTCCCTTACTGACAGTAACAGCACGCTGATAGAAACGTCGAGTTACTATCACGCCCGGTACTTTTTGTCCTACATATCCGCAAATCATCTCCCAGTTGCGTACGCTTCGCCGTGAAATGACCTACAATAGACATGCATACCACTTTGATTTTTGAATGGTCCATTCTTCAGTTGTCACATTCAAAGGTCTTTCAAACTAATGTTGGATTTGTAACAAGTTCTAACTAGGTATGAATAAATTAGAGAAACACAAATTTTTCGACTTTACACCAGTTAATTATAGCTTTTTAAAAAGTCAACAATTAATCGACAGTTCGTAGTATTTGCAGTTTTCGTGAACCACGAAGTACTTGGCCGAGTCAATTTGAGCAACGGTGGCATTGTTGAGCTGGCAACCGTTCTTCATGACGTTAATGGAGTTGCATCCAGGTAACCGCTGACACTCGGTACAACACCGGGTGCGACTCTTGAGGCCCACCTCTCGAATCACGTGGTTACGGAGACATTTCGGGCCCGAACCCATGACTGATGGGTGAATGGGATCGCAAGTACCAGACACTTGCATGGGTCCTGGAATCTCGCAAAGTAATTCTTTCTCTTCGAGCCTGCAGGGAGCCCCGTGCCACTTGCCGTCTTCCCTGTGAATCATCACACAATCACCCGATTTGGTCGATTCACCGTCGGCCCAATTCGTGAAGAGTTTAGTGCCAGGGACATGCCCAGAACACACCAGGTTTGCCTCCTCCAGCCTGTCCGAGCAGCCGATGTATGTTTGGTTGAGTCCGAGGGATACCATGAGGTCCTGCAGCAACTCATTCTCCTGAAGGGTATTCGGGGTTGCCATGTTGCCGCCGATTTCTTGGCACTGCCTCTCACGTTTGTTGTAGTTTCCCAGGGGAATGGACAGCAGTTTGTATGCTGAGGTATGTCTTGCACACCTTGGGCGATGCACAGAATAAGTGCTCTCACGGGTGAGAGTAAGTTGAACTCTGTGAACCATTAGCAAGAACATGCATATGTAGATAAAGACGTTTAGTCTATAATAAAAATGATTCACCATGATGATAAAACAATGTCTTTCAGTTTTTCTGACTATGTCCTTTGTTTCTATAGGAGCCTTGGTCTACATCACAGCACCGGTTAAACTGTTTGCGCTTTTTTGTTGTTTTTGCGAAGCAAGATCTTGGCGCAAGGGCTTTTCCCCACCGCGGGGATAAAGTCACCGGATCGATGGACAATCGAAACAGCTGCCCGTCCTGTCAAAACTGGCAAAAATGCCTTGAAGAATCAGATCAGAGGTGGTTTTGACGAAAAACTCAGGAGCTTCCCTGTCAGTTATAGGCGACACGATCACAGGCACGCGTGCTTGAGAAAAACGGACTGGGTGGGGAAAAAACGTGTTGCCGCAGCTTTCCGACAAGTGCTTCATCAAAGCCTCGCAGAAGGCTTTTTAAATACCTACATTTCTAACACCGTTGTCGACAACCCTCATAAAAGATGACTGGTTATTGCAGACGGAGTGGAGAAATTAGGACACTATCTTTTGACTGCACCAATCATCTGGAAACTCCAGCAGTTGTACGCCGTTGTATTGGTGCATTACTCCGAATAATCACGCTTGACGTGTGATCTCGATTGCTAAAAGCTTTTAGCGAAGCCCCAAAGCATGACTATTTATCGTCACCTTTACACCTGAGCTAACTAGAGACGTCCTAAAATACAAGTTGAACTTGTATTGCTAAATAACACACTTTTCACAGAGTAAGCGCACCCCTGTTGTCCACCTGTCACTTTGCAGTTGTGCAAATTGACCCCAAAAAACTTTACAATACGTTTTCCACCTGAAAGTAATTTCTATACGATCTTGATTGGAATTGAAATTCCATTTTACATTTGTAAATGCTACACCCCTCAGAGGGTTACAAGAAAAAGTCATTTTTGACACCCCTCCAAAAAAAAAAAAAACAAAACAAAACAAAACAAGTTGATCATTGTCATCCTCACACCGTTTCCACACTTCGGTTGACTGATATCCCCCCTCTGATAGCCTCGCAATTGGCTGATTGAACATTGCCTCATCACTTTGAAGTCTGCATGCCGCCTCCACTCCTCGTAATTAAGTCCCTCACCGTGGCAGAGCTGAAACACGCATGCGATTGAAACTTTTGACAACAATTAAGATGTACCGTTAGACAGAAAGAGGGTGCAAACGGCGTCACGTGACCCATGTTGGTTTTAAAATGAAGATTGACATTACATTTTTCTCCTCAATACCCTTTCAAAGAAATTTCTCGACAATCGTTTGTTGCTTGTCTTCTCCGTAAGAAAAGATATGCATTATAGCCACAGCTAATGCGTAGAAAGCCCCCAGCAAACAAAACAAAAACATTTCTGAGAGATAATGAAATGTAAAGAAACATAGGCCCTAATGCGCCTTCTCGGAAATTCATATCCTCTTCTCAATGATCGGCAGATAGATGCCAGACACAACAACTCCTAAATATTCCAGATTTATTGATTCACGTTCATAGCCCTCGTGCATTTATTACATCTTTTCATGGAGGCAGCGGATGTCATTCTGCTCAACTTAAGCCGATTATTCACCTGATATTAAGCAGAATACGGCTGATGCACAAGGAAACCACGGAATTGCATCCAAAGGAAGGGAGAATATCTTGAGGAGCAAAAGGGCTTGATGTGTGCGTTTGCAAACTGAAATCGTGAAGAGAAACCTCTGATAGAGCCTGAAAGTCAAAGGTCACGCAGTGAACTTCCGGAACCCTTGCATCGTCTGCCTACGGGAATTTTACATTGGGCGGTCCTATCACGTTCGATAATTTTTTGGAAAAATAATTCCTTACTGAAATCACCCCATGAAATACTCATGTTGGAATTTTACCTTTGTCTTCCTCAGGTAATATTTCGGAAAAGTCACTTGGAGATGGGTAAAAAAACGAATTTTATTAACGACATCTCATGTTCGACGATATCGTACCTAGGTCTTCTTGTTCATGCACGTTTGTTTTCACTCGCCGTGCTTTCTTGAAAACGAGATTGTACAACCTTGTACAGACTTACCTACCTGCACTCGATGTGTTCCAGATTCCGTTGAGTTGACATCACGCAGTTGTAGCCAGCAAAGGTTAGATAAAATATTAGAATCTTTCGCAACAGTATAATATTGCTTTATGTTTATTACCTTATAAAGTGTGTAAAATATTTTGATTTGTTTTTATTTCGGCTTTTACCTACATACTACCAAAAAATTTCAAACCGTAAATGTTCATCTGCGTAGGAGATTACCTCATCGCATTATTCTTCATGTACTTTAGATTTTCGGAAGTGATGGGTCAGTTTTTGGCAGGAATTTTTCAGTTTCTAAAATTGATATACACAAGCAAATATTTTCAAAGCCCTTTTTCCAAGTTGGATCTTTTAAAGAAGAAACTGAACGAAAATCTTTACAGGCTCCTTGGGTGGGAAGTGTACCTCGCTGGTTGACGAACGACTAGGAAATGCACTCGTCACGGTCGCACCGCTACCAACAAATTGAACGCTCCCGACCAACGCGGGTCTTTTCAACCGATGCTCGGGGCGGATACGCACGCAATATTTGCAATTACAATTTACAATTATTGTATTCCAACGTATTGCCACTTGAATGCTCGAATCTGCACGCCGAAGAATGAGTTCGAATTCCTGAACACACGCACCTGGCACTTTTCTCTAATTATTCACTTCAAGAATCAACAAAATATGCTGACGTATAATCGTTGTGAAATCGAGCGCTTCTTTTTACATACAAAATGACCGTTAAATCAAACCGAATGGATATTTTCTCAACTGGACACGAATACTTGAAAATCCCACTCAAGTTAGCATAAAAGTGAATAAGTCGGTAGAAATAAAAGTGCATATTGGAATTAATCGAATCGAACGGCAAAAGTTGAAAATAGGCCAAGAAAAGTACCAATTCTTGCACAACTTGAAGTAACGAAATACCATGTGAAACTCTCCACACAATCTCGACCTTTTATAATAATCCACAACACTGTATATTAAAAAAAATCCCCCGCGCCACAAATGGCGGGGTATCGTCTGCCTTGTATTTGCACCAAATATTTCACTCCCGATCTATGTGACGACAGTGGTTTGTTGCTTATACTGCAGCCCAGTTCAAACTAGCGTGCACAGCCCTATGGCAGCCAAAATGCTCCACTCATTCCGTTCAATTCAACTTGTCACCAGCCATCTTAACATATTGCTGTTTTTTTTCTATGGTTACCGCTCTTGCGCATTTTTGATAAATGATTTTTGTGTCATCGACGGCTAACTATGTACCACCACCTCAACAGTGCCATTTGACCACAAAGCAATGTCTCCAAAATCGTAATTTTTGTACAGGGTTAATAGCCTGCTTAGATTGGTATTTTATGAAATTCAGTTTAATTATTTGGTTTGAGTGCAGAAAAAAATTAGTTTCCGAAGAAAAATCAATGAAGTGCAGGCATGTTTCCATTTCAAGTCTGAATCATACACATGGTTACATACAAGTGTTTATTCAGGAAAGCAGTGATGCTCACACATGGAACCGTTTATCAGAATATTGATCGCAAATAAAATGCACAATGCTTGCTCTTTGCAGACAAAATTAACGGATGTATGATGTTATTCAAATTATCAGAAGCATCACATGTCAATTGCTGAACACCTTCGCGCTGACACACTGACATGAACTGCTGAACAGATAGACGCCAAGGGAGAGGAAGAAATGCTTATTTTACACGAGACAACAGAGGTTACCTCAGTATAGAATCGCAGGTATCGCTGCAGGAAATTGTTGTGGTACATATGCATAAGGTGGGCATCTTTACGCTTTGGGACCTGCTCACACACAAACATGATGTATTTACATGTATATATGATATACACACAGCCTCGTTTAGGTCCGATTCCAGTAGCTAACATTGAACTTACGGTTAATTAGAAGTACTCGATCCTTTTTATTTTGGAGGACATCCGTCGTTACGTCACTGATAATCAGGAAATATTATGCCCACGTTATGCCCATGGTTCTCCCGATGGCATAACGGGAATATAATGAAGTGAAAAGTAAAACAATTATTAAGGTCGGTTAATCGTTCTGATTCTTCCAGCGCAGTGATAACATTTGTGCTGCAATATAATAACTTCTCATTAGGAAGAGAAATCCACCATCAAAATCTGATTTTCGCTGAAAATGGCGGGCATCCTGCAGACTCGCGCCATCTTTGACAAAAACTATGAGCAAATCACATCTCCATTCGTTCTACAACAGTATCCCAGATATTCAAGCATGATCATCCATTGCTTGATTTAAATAAGGCTCATTTCAAAGCCACCCTCATTTTTTTGCAGACTGTTTTTTCTTCAATTCTCAAATCAACCGCTAGATTCGGTTTTTTTTCAATCAATACTGTGATTGTTTGACATTTTGCAGTTACAACACGCCATGATTATATTTCACCAGTCGCGGTTCCTTGAAGAAAGCATGTACCCCTTTTTGTACCCCTTTTGTCATAAATCTCCGAGATGTTTGCAAGCCAAAAAACAGAATCTAGCAAAAGGAACGAAAAATGACTATCTACTTACCTTCCAGATGTACTTCGTTTGTTTTTGTTTCCGCTTTGTCTCGGATAATGTGTCAACTCAAAATATAGGCCACTTTGCAATACTGGAAAATTCGGCACAGATGATAATGATATTCAGCGGTGACGTGCCCACCAAGGCAGAGAGAAACGTTGGCGATGCTAATTATCCGCGCTGGACTGTAGCTGTAAGACTCCCCAGAGATCGAATGACGTCAGAGTACACATAGCCTGGCCTGTCACTGCAATTCACGCACGGTGCTCGACTGCCAGTGCGTCCATTGAGCATCAATATTAAAATCAACTGTCGATGGCTTCACGTATAAAACTACTATCGGGGCTTCATTATGTTGACGTGAGCATTAGGAACGTAGACGTTGGCTAGCCTGGCGTCTACTTCCGTAGCGGCCCTCACAAGAAGAAAGCACGTGAATTGTGGAATCAATCGTGATATGAGCGATCGTGCCGACCGCTGGCCCGCCGCCTGTGTACGTCCATTTGCATTTTGCCATACGTGGTATAAACGTCAGAGCGACGAGGGCAAACAGGGATGGGTCGCCATGGAAACGTGTGATGTTGTTACTCTTGGCCCCAAACAAGAGACATTTGTCTTTCTGTGTTGGCCCTTTCTAAGCAGTTAGATAACAAATGTTCTAATTTCCCCACCAATTCGATAAAATTCACCGTTCCAGCGTTCCTTTTTTCCTCCCCAAGCAGCATCTATAGTGAGAGGTGCTGGAGGTCGTACGGCTGAGAATGGACAAAGACACCAATCAAATAATGAAACGTATACTTATTTTTATTCTATGCTAGTAATCATTATTATTTCTAATGTGCATGTGAGAAGCATTACAAGTGGCGTCATTACTCATATGCGTGCAAAACGCGGTTACATCAACATTAAAACCCAAGAGCCTGGTGTGTTGGATGCCTGTTCTTAAGGTTCGCAAGGTTGACGGGAATAGTGCCTTGTTTACAGAAACAAAAGCACTTTCCTTATGCTGACAGTTTACAGCGATTTGCAACGAACCTTATATAGTTGTGTAGATTATATGCAACCAGTGTGATGAACATGATACATTTAAAATGAAACATATCAAAACTGTGCCAAATCAGCGATGGAAATAAATTGCGATTACTCGATCATGCATACCAGACCTATAGGGGCCTGGACGGAATTTTTGAATGATGAATCAACTGGTTCGGTGTTTCCGCCATTACGGTGCAGATGGTGTTGAGATTTGTGTGTCAAATGATCAAAGTTGAACAGTATAGACTTAATGAGTCAAGTCGGACTTGTGCTACTCTTCCCCAGTCGGCCATCCCTTCACGTAACATACAGTACACGGTCTTCGCGTTCGGCCGGCCGCTCGGATAACTTCTTATAAAGGCGCCCTCATTTGATAGCTTTTCCGCGATATCCGGCTTCAACGTCCAAGATTGTACAACGTGCATCACCAGTCCGTAAGTCCGACTTAACGGATAAGCCAACCAGACCCGCATTGGTGATATGTAGTTAATCATAATAGCATGTGAACGACACGATCTTGCATAACGTATCACGAATCAAAGAAAACAGATTTGGCATTTCCACCAATGAAAGTAGTCAGACTTGCCGACTCGTTCATTATAACAGAGGTATAATCGATGTAAAAAAAGTCTAGAAATTTGATTGGTTGTTACCTGTTTTGGTAGATGAGCCATTTCGCTATGTACGGCTGGCAGATTCGTCAAGTCAGGGTTACTGAACTCGCAGTAATACGTGGACACAAGAGGGCGCGAAGCAAGTAATAACGCGCGACCTCCATAGTCAAAGCATAAACGCAAATCTACTTTGCATAATTAAACAAACAATGCATGAACATCTCTCCTTTACCGCAAACATCCTGCATCTGTTTTTATTCCGCACAGAATCTTGTGATTGGAATACGTGTGTCCGTCACCTGTAATGAACCTGTAATGTACGGTGCATCCCGTTCATTTCACTGTCATAATGTTTGAATTCCACAAACCAACTTCATTTACTTTAGCTCAAATGTGTGATACAGAGCAAAAACCATTAGAAATATTATTTTCCAAATGGAAAAGAAAAGTTTAATGAAACTTGAAATCTTTATGTATGTTCTTGTGTAGGCCCCTATTTGAACAACAGCACTCGAGTTTATGCAACATAGTGTCGTTACTTATTATTATTATTCTTGATGGTTTATTTCAAACACTGTGATTGTAGCCCGGAGGCTAAATTACCACAGTACACACAGCTTAACTATTCAATAAATAAAACATCAGAGCATTAGAAATTTCAAGTAGAAGCATCTCGTCTAAAATAAACACAAAACAACAATCAGAAAATAAAAATCACTCAAGATACAGACAGAAAATTGCACTGTACAGTTATAACCAATGCCCACAAAAACACAAATCAATTAAAACCATCCCTTAACAGATTCGGATTCTGCAGACTTGCAAAATATGGGATGAGACTTTTCTTGTAACTTTTGGTTTTACATGTTAATGTGGACAGGTTTATGGCATTTATGAGTTGATATTGCGTGCACTTCACTATGTCTCGGCTGAGGTAACCACAAATGGATCCATGGGGTTGGGGTTAGGGTTAGGGGTACGGTTAGGATTAGAGATAGGGTTAGGGATAATGGTTAGGGATAGGGTTGGGGTTAGAGGTAGGGAAAGGGTTAGGGATAGAGATAGGGTTGGAGATGAGGATAGGGTTAGAGTTAGAGATATGGTTAGGGATAAGGTTGGGGTTAGGGGTATGGATTGGGTTAGAGATAGGGTTAGGGATAATGGTTAGGGATAGGGTTGGGGCTAGGAGTAAGGATAGGATTAGGGTTAGAGATAGGGTTAGGGATAATGGTTAGGGATAGGGTTGGGGTTTGGGGTAAGGTTAGGGATAGGGTTAGGAATAGGGTTAGGGTTAGAGATAGGGTCAGGGATAATGGTTAGGGATACAGTTGGGGTTAGGTGTAAGGTTAGGGTAGGGTTAGGGGTGGGGATAGGGTTAGTGGTCGGTTAGGGTTAGAGATAGGGTTAGGGTT